GACAAGTGGGCTGGCAATGGCATTACGCGTCATCACGCCCGTTTAGGCAACAGGGTGTGATTATACCATTACGTCATTGGTGATGTCGTTACATTGGCATACAGGCAACAGTACTCACCTCGAACGCTGATCTCGACGAACTGGAAACAGGACGACCGTCATTCATATCCTGAAGGGAATAAGAGCACATGACCGATAGGCCAACTCAGCAAAACTGACCATCGTGATCAGCAACACAGTAAGCCAAACAAGTATGTATGTTCTGGCCTGTGGAGAGAGAGAGAGAGAGAGAGAGAGAGAGAGAGAGAGAGAGAGAGAGAGAGAGAGAGAGAGAGAGAGAGAGAGAGAGAGAGAGAGAGAGAGAGAGAGGGAGAGAGAGAGAGAGAGAGAGGGAGAGAGAGAGAGGGAGAGAGAGAACGAGAGAGACAGACAGACAGACAGACAGAGAGAGAGAGAGAGAGAGAGAGAGAACGAGAGAGAGAGAGAGAGAGAGAGAGAGAGAGAGAGAGAGAGGAGAGAGAGAGAGAGAGAGAGAGAGAGAGAGAGAGAGAGAGAGAGAGAGAGAGAGAGAGAGAGAGAGAAGGGGGGGGGGGGAGAGAGAGAGAGACAGACAGACAGAGAGGATGGCAGAGGAAAGAATGGGCACTCTGTCACAGACAGAGGTAGGACACATTCCCCTGACAGCAACAAGGCACAGTTGCTTACCTCGGCATCACGATGCTTGGCAATCATGGAGTCGGATGTTTCGGCGTTAGACCGGTACCATCATCAATCGCTGGGGCACGTTCAAATCCACGTCGTCCACTGGAATTCTAAAATCACCAAGAACATTAATGAGTCAGTCAGCTTTTATTTCATTGGACTCTCACCTCAATATAATCCACACCTTGCAAGGTTCTCGCTACTAAACTGCGGGACAGATTGGTTATGGGCTGCGAGACTGGACTACAACTGATGCCACTGTAGCTCCCCCGCCCCCTTTAAGGGACGCAAACAACGCACAGTCAGATGGAATACTGTAATTTCACAAATGTTTGGTGTGCTTTTACTTTCGGTACATTTAGTTCATAACAAATTCCATGAAAAAACACTGACATTCACATCATACTGTAGGGAATCGCTTCACTGTACCTAAAATGTCTGTTCAATTAACATGACATTTTGCCCTCATTCCGAAATTTTAGAGTACTGCTATTCATGGATGGTACTCAAAGCCGCAGAGTGGTGGGGATCCTCACCTCTGTTGTTTGTTGGGAGGCCACCGACTCGCCCATGGTGCGCAGCATGCGCTTCAGCTCTTCGTTCTCCTTGCTCAGGCGCACCACGCGCTCCACCATCTCGTTCAGCTTCTCCGTCTGCGACGCGCTGGAGATGAGCACCTGTGCGACTTCCAGCTTGGACAAGTCCACAGCGGGAAGAGCCTAATAGGGAACAGCACGAAACAACAGAGGTGATGGTGCACTCAATTAGGAAATCACATCGCAAATATGGAAACCCCATACACCATCATCAAAGCAAGCAGTCCCCATTGCCGCAAATTTCTCTTATCTCAATCAAATTTCCTGACAGGAGCCATCATCAGGATCGCTTTGATGATCGTGTAGGGATTACCGTGTAATGGAGCGGCTGCAGTGGAGCTTGCGCACCTCAGGAAACAGATCACCAGCCCATGTTCATACAGTTGAACATCGATTATCCGACCACCTCTGGGCAGACAACTGTCAGGCGGTGTTCAGATAAGGCAAATGTTCCGGATAAGAAAAAAACTGTCACTCACACACTTTCAGTGGTTACTACTAGCCGCACGACCTTTTTACTTTTTACTTTTCAAAATTTTCGTATTTTTTTGAATGGCTCCCTACATGCACAGTGCGTACTCTACGGCACGTGCGCCTAAAAAAACTGTTACGGATAATCGAATGGTCGGATAGTCGATGTGCGGATAATGGATGTTCAACTGTACATGCAAATGTTAGGCACTGAACCAATTCTGAGAGTTTCGCCGAAGAAACTAATGGTGTCCTTCAGGTCGAGTCCGGATAAATGAGAAAGAGGATGTTGTAGGTAAAATGCTGGAAGATACAACTTTCCAGTGGCCAATGCATGCGAGCATGCACAACGTCTAAATAACACGATCAACACCAGGGCAAACACCGCCACTTGGTAGCATGGGTGTACGTACATTGGACATGGCTAGCTGAGAGCGGAGGTGACTCGCGGCCAGTTCCTCGTGAACGGCGGCCTTGGCAGAGGAGGCACCGATCGCAGGGGAAGGCTACAAGAGAAAGAGAAGAACGGCAAAGTCTAAGAATCACGGAGGAGAAACCATGAGCACCCGTAGAGACGGGTACGACAGCCGCACCTGTTCCTCTGCCGGCAGATGTGCTTGCCAGGCGTCAGTTACGATCAGGTTGGTGTTGATGCTGTTGAGTCTTCTCTGACCATTGCTTTCAACCACAGTGCCAAGTTTTTCTATGTACAGTCAACTTCGCTAATAACGACTGCGGATATAACGACAATTCGCGAATAACGACATAATTTCCATGCCCAGAGCAAAGTCCCATCCCACTGTAATACATATAATGAGACTTTGGGTATAACGACACTTCGCGAATAAGGACACTTTTTTGATGCCCCGCCGAGTGTCGTTATAAGCGAAGTTGACTGTATGCAGAGAGAAGCCGCCATTCCAAGAAGTAAGCATCCGGCAAAGCCCCTCTCTAAGTGAAATTACTACTACCAAGAGTCCACAACCCCAAGAGTGTGCAACTGGGGTCTGGCTGCTGTAGGCCCACTGCGCGGCGGAATGCCAACATTGCGTCATGCCACTGAGGCACAGAGGACAAAACTCCGCATTCCGCGGTGCTTGGAACCAGGGAGTAGTGCAAGCGCAACGGACGTGTACGTCATTTTGGACGTAACGTTGGAATTCCGCCGCGCGGATCTCCATGTATAGAGTTGCACACTCTTGGGGTTATGGACTATTGCTACTACTGTGCTGCGGCCATACATCCTCATAACACTGTTAGCTCAATCTGGGCTACACCAATTGATAAGAACATAATTATTTCCCAAATTTTCCGGCCTCAGAAACTGGTAACGACAGTACCAGATTTTTGTGATGCGGAAAAGGAGTTACAGAGCACGGAAGACTTTCCCTGGTATGTCTACGTATTGCACAGAGAGACAGGCGCGTGCGCCGGTGCCCTTAAAGGGGGGGGGCCTCCCGCGGAAAAAATTAAAAAAATGAAGCAAAATCCTGCATTTGAACGGAAAAAAAGGGGGTTCCGGGCACCCAGGAACCCATACGGGGCACGCACCTGGAGAGACCACTTTTATTGTGCTACTGCACTCAGGCATTGCCGACAGCCCCTGGCGTCTTCTTGCAGGGTGATAAGGGCATATAAGTTACATGTTGAGCTCAGGACAAAATACAGAAGGGGCATGAATAGTGCGAAGGGATTCGCGGAATGTTCATCGTCAACAGGATGCGCTGGCGCACGCAAAACAGACACTGATTCGAGCAAGGATCTTTGCTCTTTCTAAGCGTTTTTGAGTATGAGATGCTACACAATGCCTACAGTCTACAGAACACTAACCGGTGGTACGGCAGGAACTTGGACGGCGATGTTGGCGAGGCTGCTTTTCTCCTCGACTGCTGCACCAGCCTCACCAGATGTGTCGACAGATTGTGACTCCTCGGCTACTCCTGGTATCGCAAGGCTCGTGTTATCAATGGACGTGGAGCCGGCACGACGGAAACGAACTTGTCCCTGAACGCAGTAAGAACAAACACAGACAGCCCGCAATGAGAGAGGCCCATACGAAGCCCGCAACACCTTCATGCAAAGCAACCCGGTGCGTGTGTGTGTGAACGATATGTTTCCGACTTACTCAGGACATGTCGCGGCATAGAAGTGCCAGTGAACACCCCCCCCCCCCCCCCCCCCCGACTCTGGCTCCTTTATGGAGTGGCATGGCCCTAGTGGCAGCCATGCATTAGTAGTGGCTAGCAGTGCACGGGTGTGTGTGTGTGTGTGTGTGTGTGTGTGTGTGTGTGTGTGTGTGTGTGTGTGTGTGTGTGTGTGTGTGTGTGTGTGTGTGTGTGTGTGTGTGTGTGTGTGTGTGTGTGTGTGTGTGTGTGTGTGTGTGTGTGTGTGTGTGTGTGTGTGTGTGTGTGTGTGTGTGTGTGTGTGTGTGTGTGTGTGTGTGTGTGTGTGTGTGTGTGTGTGTGTGTGTGTGTGTGTGTGTGTGTGTGTGTGTGTGTGTGTGTGTGCGTGTGTGCGTGTGTTTGTGTGTGCATGTATTTTACATAATAGACACAAAAGGAAGATGCAGCAGGAGATACGTGTTTGGGCAAGCAACAATTCCGGTCACCACACCCAAATACAGTCTCTTTAAGTCGATGATCTTATACGAGGTACATGGAGGCAATAGAATTACGAAAATAAACATGATAGGGCCAATCGCTTACTCTGTTTAGTCTCAATGTCTTGCGTCCCTGCCGCTCAAAGGAGCCAGTAGAGCCGGGCGGGCGCGCTATGGATTTGGCGAAGTCCATCTCGACGGTGATGACTCCCTTGACGAGGTCGGTCTCGCAGTCCTCACCCTTGACAGTTATCTCTGGTGCCGCAACCTCCACTGGAGCGTCCACGTCCGGCGACTGCACAGTCTTCTTCTTCTTGTCCTTCAGCGAGCGATCTCGCAGTCGGATAGTGCTGCCGCGAGTGCGTGTACGCTTCAGCTTCGGTTCGGTCACGGTGTTGACTGGCAGACTGGAGTTCTTCTCCCGCTCCTCAACCATCTCCTTGAGGTAGCCGACCACGCGTGCCATCATCAACGTTCGTAGCACGGCTTGGATGGCCTCCTGCATTGTACAAGCAGAGTGATATATACACAGACGCACAAACACACATGCAAGAACACACCCACACACGCACGCAAACACACACACACACACGCGCGCACACACACACACACACACACACACACACATGTCCAAGCTATGGGGTCTGAGACGGCAGAACTTCACATCGCGTGACAAACCCGTACACATTGCGTAGACATGGAGTAGGCACAATGCGCGGCAGCTAGAGTGGTGGTGTACAACCCTGCTATTGGTAACACTCTCTGCTGGTCACTTTGCACTGTTCTCCAGCGCAACCTACTGTAAAACTGGAAAGTGTAGCGACCAAAAAAGTGTAACGTTTTTTTGGAATTTTGGCATGATACCGTGCAGAAAGTTTAACGATGGCTACCTGGCCACCCATCTGTATGCGCATCTTTATACAGACATCTCAAACCGGGTTCGCTATAACGTTTCTTCAAAATTATTATTTAATAACGAAAAAAAATGGTCGTTAAAACGTTAGACTTTGTGACTCATTAAACTTTCCGGTTTTACAGTATATCCTATACACAGCCATTGAGCATATCATGGAATGTACAAGCAATGTATGTAAGTATGCTGGGATAAGCAAAACACTGTCCAACACCCTGAACACCCTTTCCCCAGTAACAGGTGGTGTCTCGCATTCTTGCACTCGGGTGATTAACGATTGCAAGCCCGGCTTACCTGCCACTTGCGCTGAGCGTTGAAGCGACGCAGCCGCTTGGTGCCGATTCGCTTGAAGTTCTTCGTCTTCTTCGGGGCCTGTGAGCAAACAGATCGAGTATGTTGTGTTAGGTTGGGTATTGTGCAGCATGCACGTCAGTACGGGCCAATACAGTAAAAGACCACCTGTCTGTATATTGCGGTTGCACAACCATCACACGACCATATTGGACAGCCATGTGGGTTCTACCACAAGTGAATCCCTGCACCTATGGGTCGCATATGCCTGCCATGTTGGTTCCAACACCAATGATCTCTGTGTCTATGGATCGCATCAAGAGTCCATAATCCCTGCAGAGTGCGCAACTTCACTGATCAGATCTGCAGGGGCGTAGCACCCGCTACGACTGGTACGACCATGGCCGTACCACTTTTCGAAAAGTGTGGTCCGTCTCCGGAACGTGCAAAACCGTAATAAAAAAATCAGGATCCATCGATGCATACCGCGTACCGGTATGCACATCAGACTTTGACCTTTTTCTAGACTCGTAGTCGTAGATCTACTCGTAGATCTGCCATGCAGCTGCAGTCGTACTGAGTACTGTACTCGACTCGATTGCACACTGCGCCAGAAGTGTGCCAGAAGTTCCCAGAACGCAGGATTTTGTGTCTTTTTTACAAAATTTTCCCGGGGAGGTACCTCCGACCCCCCCCCCCCAACACGGCCTTCGGTCGTACCACTTCCAAAACCCCTCCTACACCCCTGATCTGGGACGGCGAAATCCGTGTTGCACATCATAGTGTGACATCGTGAGTAGGGGAAG